TCAAAAATACTGTCCTGCTTAAGTCTCCCATATGGTAGTGGCTCAATCTGTTTTGCATTCATTCTTCTTTTTTCTACCAAACCCCCTTTTTTTCTAGCACTATTGTCTTTTCCAGCAACTCTTTGTCTTTTTTGCGAAATGCCCAAGTATGAACTTTAGTTACTTTTCCTTCTAATCAGATTACAAGTTTGATTTGATATAGAACCCATTCGTCTGCCTGTCTGCTTATATACTATCTTCTTTATTTGCTGCTGCCACCTTACTTTCTGTTAATAGAAGGATCACAAGTCCTTCTTGGATGGGAAGGCATAACTTAATTAAGATCATAGTGTTTGTCGTTACAGACAACCACAGTTCAGGCTAAATGAAATTGTTGGATCCAACTAGAGTACCATTGAACAGACTAGAGTAAATTCAATGAATCTTGGGTCATAACAGGTCCACCTGTAGTTGGGAATAACAATTGAATTTAGTTCTTCTTGGCAAGAATGATGTGTTTCAGAAAATTCACAGTAAGTTTTTTTTTTAGGGTTATCTGAAAGCAGCCGTGAAACCATCTGTTCCACACATCCTGCTTTAATTTGAATCCTTGCATTAAAGCAGGATGCAGAGCAGTCCATGGCCCACAGGTTGGCCAACCTCCCACTGTTATTGACAACGCCAGGGTTACTCCCTGCCCCCCCAAAGGAAAACACCATTTCCAGTCAGCCAGTACCTGTACAGAGGTTATTGGGAAGCCCCCCCCCCCCACTGGCCACACAGCAATACTGTTCTTGCCTGCAGGGCCCTGAACTGGTACTGCCAGCAGCTGAGAAACATCCCAGCTCTGGCTGGCTGGGACAGAAGCCCTCAAATAGTTTTCAAATAGCACCAAGGCATACTTTTAATACTGCACCATAACTTGCCTCATGTGATACAACCAACATAGCCGAGAAGCGACTTTGGTTCTTCTTGAAATTGTAGCTGCTGGTTGTCCTCGTCTCCCACATTCACCATCGTTAATGTGGGTTAAATATCCAACTACATGCAGGCAGCTAGGAGAACACATATACACGGCTATATCCGAATACTAGGGAATGGAGGACAACCAGTACAGCACAGACAAGCTATCTGGCCCGTTAGCTAACTTCACCTAGATGGAGAAAATTGGTAGTGGTGATCTTAAAAAGACAGAGCAATAGAAAGATAGGATGGAATGAAATTTGTTTGCTTGTTTGTTTTATTAGATTTATACCCCGCCCATCTAGACAAATATAAGGGATGTGGTGGCGCTGCGGGCTAAACCGCAGAAGCCTGTGCTGCAGGGTCAGAAGACCAAGCAGTTGTAAGATCGAATCCACGTGACGGAGTGAGCGCCCGTCGCTTGTCCCAGCTCCCGCCAACCTAGCACTTCGAAAGCATGCAAATGCAAGTAGATAAATAGGGACCACTTCGGTGGGAAGGTAACAGTGTTCCGTGTCTAAGTCGCACTGGCCATGCGACCACGGAAGATTGTCTTCGGACAAAATGCTTGCTCTATGTCTTGGAAACGGGGATGAGCATCGCCCCCTAGAATCGAACACGACTGGACAAAAATTGTCAAGGGGAACCTTTACCTTTTATCATCTGGACAAATAGTCTACTCTGGGTGGCAAATGGAATGGAATGAAATCATCTGCAAGCAGTCTGTTGTCATCTGAGAAGTAAAGAAAACAATAAGGCAGGAGGAGCCAAAAGGGTAAATAAATGGAGAAATGGAAGCCTCTGACTGTTACCAGTTGAGATTTTGCTGGCCTGACCAGAGAACATGTCTTGGCTGGCTGCCTACTGGGCAGAATGAAAAAGGGTGAGCAATTGAGGGAAAGAGAGTGATTTATTTATTTATTTATTTTATTTATATCCCGCCTATCTGGTCGTGTTAGGACCACTCTGATAGACTAAGAAAGGAGCTACACTGTAGTTAATTGACAGATAATGCAGGAAATGTTCTGGGATAGGAATGGTCACTTTCACAATAATTTCTGTTGACTCCATGAGGTAAAAGTCAATGTAAATCAGCCCAGAGTTCTCTCCCTCCCCATCCTGCTGATTTTTATTCCACTGCTGGGACTCCTACTTTTTTATTTTTATTTTTTTAATCAAATACATTGGCGTCAGTTCAGGCAGTGTGAAGCACAGCAAAGTGTGCTGCTTATATACCTCCCCATAGTGCTTCAAGCACTCTCTGGGTGGCTTACAAGTTAATTAGGCAGACTACAAATCCCCCCCCCCCAGTGAGCTGGGTACTCATTTTACCGACCTCGGAAGGATAGAAGGCTGAGTCAACCTTGAGCTGGCTACCTGGGATTGAACCCCAGGCTGTGAGCACAGTTTTGGCTTAGGTACAGGAGTTTAACCACTGCACCAGGAGGCTCAATTGATCAAGTATGATCATTTAAGCTGATATGGAGGGGCTTGTAGTTGTTGGATTTAATCCATTCCAGCCGGCTACAGCAGCAGTGAGAGATGAAGGGCAGCATCCCATTGCAACCAAGGGGAATATGACAGCAAAACAAGTCTCCACCACCCACTCCCACAATAGAGGACAGTAACTGCCTTCATGTCCACTTGTGAGAGTCCACTAGTCAGTGCTGTAAACACAGTGTAGCACTAGATGCTGGGCTGGTGCCCTTAAAAACTCTTGGGACCTAATTGTTCATTTAAACAACTCCTATAGGAAAAAGTAAGACTATGGAAAAGTGTAAAGTACTGTACTGTATTTTAAATCATTAGGAAATGCTTGATTCTATTTGTAAAGTGCATTTGGCTCCCTCTGCTGATAAACCTTTTGAACTGCATGACTGAAACAGAAGGTACAGTATTGTTACATGCTGTTAAGTTGCTCACCATGTGTGCAGCCCTAACAGGTTTTTGAGGTTTGTGACATGTTCAATGAGTGGTTTATCACTACCAAAAAGTCTCCAGTAAGCTTCCATGGTCAAGCAAGGATCTGAACCCAGTTCTCTTGGGTCTAGTACTCTATCAAGTACACCACTCTGGTTCCTACAGCGTGTTGACGAACAATGAAAATCAATACCCATCCTTAACTATAAGTCTCCTTTAAGAAGCAATGCCTTCTGGTGGTTTATCTACCTACATTCCCACCATTTGCCTTTGCAGGCCCCAACTCAAATTACTATATACATTTTATTGAAATGCTTTTTAGCAATGTCTTCCAGCATTACAAGAATTTCTGTCACTTGTGGGATGGAATTGTTCTCGCACTGAACTAGAGATGGTGAACCCTAAAGATATTAAGCAAACAGGTACTAGATGGAGTTTGGTCATTGTCCAAGAGTGTCTGCATTATACTAAGGACTACATATTCCAGTGAACAGTAGGCAATGTCATAATTTGGCTTCTCTTGATGATTTTGCGTACTTCATCACTTACACTCCAAATTGTCTGGTATGGAGATTGCCATGTATCTCTGTGCTTCTGCTCCATGCCCACTTAGGGGGCATATGCTCCCATACTTAAAATAAAATAAAAATACCTTTGGTCATTAGAAGGCCTTGACCACCATCAGCCATTGGCACTTGGATAGGACACACCAACCAAGCACAAAGGACAGGTGGAGATTTTCTGGCTACACTCAGGTACTCTGTGATTTTCTACATAAAAAATAGTATTTGTCCTTCTCTGTAGGTGTCATAGCCACCCTTTTTGCATTTTTTTTCTTTGCATAAACATTCACTAGATATGCCACAGCCTTTTGACATATGTGCAAAATGGGGCAGAATGAGTGACCTTTCACTCCGGGGGCAAAGAAATACCACAAAGTATTTTTTATATCATACACAGCATTTGTAGAGTTTAAAGGGTCAGCAATTTGAATTACGGAAAGGAAAAAGCAATTTTGGTATACTGAAATCCTAGCACCAAAGGCAAAGGGATGAATGACAGGTCAACCTTGCAATAAATCCCAAGATCTGCCCCCTGGACACTTGAACCAGCTGAATTTGTCAGACACAGACAGAACTTTTTAAAGATAGTCAAATCCTCCAAAATGAACGTCAGTTTTGTATACTTGTTTTGCATGTTCTTGTGTTTTTCGGGGGGGGGAGGCATGGTGAGAGGTGGGAAGTGCTGTAGTGAAAAAAGAATGCAGAGGTCTTGTTTCAGAGGATCAGTGATATCACCGGGGAAATTCACAATCCTGTTAGCTTCACATGTGAATGCAAGACTTTCAGATTTTACTATCACTTGTGATAAATTCATCTAAGCAAAGTCAAAGAATAAGGAAAATAATAAAGCAAAGGTTGGATTTCTTAAAACTGGTTCCTGCACTATATTTGTGGCTACTTGAAATAATAACACTCCACAAGATTGCTTGCAGAGGTTCCTAAAATCTTTTTTAAAAAATGCATTTCAACTATCTTGCGACCTCTGGTTGAAGTTTGGTGCGATTTAAAAACCCAGTTGAGGCAGGCAGGCAGGCAGGATTCACCATCACCCCTTTCAGTAACCCTTGCTCACAGGGAGGTATATGGCTAAATTGCCCGCATGCTGATTCGAATAACCTGGATATTGCTCCCTCTGCCTGATGTTTGAATGGATGTGAGAAAATAAACTCATTATCTTCTGCACTTCAGAATCTGGTTCTATCAAAATACTGACAAGAGTTTAGACATCGTCAAAATTTCAGAAACGACGCATGTCACCAGAAGTCATTTAAAGCGTGCACTTTAACTCCGTACCGATAAAGTTCATTTCAGGACATAAACGGGAAAAATGCTAAAAATAGACGAAGAGCTGTACGTCAACCAACTTTTAATTTTACTTTCTACAATAGAGGACATTCTGCTTTAAAGCCCTGCGATTGTAACTCGCCTTCCACACAGCCCAGCCTTATTCCTTTTTCCCTCCCTCTCCTGCCGCCTCTCCTCCCCTTAAAGCACTAAACCCGGGAACCGGAGTTTTACTTCTGCCTCTGACCGACTCGATCGGCCTCTTTGTTTCGCGAGGCGCCGCCTCCGCAATTCCACGCATGCCCAATCCTATCGGTCTCTGAGGGATGGGGTTGTGTAACGTCACTTGAGTATTTCCGGGTCACGGTCGGCATCTCTTTCCCCCGGAAACCTTTTCGTCAGCTTTAGTAGAGCTGGCGTTGTGGTAAGTGGGGGTGATGGTGGAGTGGTTTCTGAGGCGGCTCTTACCGCCCTGGCTTCGGTTTTGGATTATCGTAGCTCGGGTGGAAGTCTGGGCAGCGATGACCGAGGAAGCCTCGGTTTCGTGCTGAGGACTTTGTCCCCTTTGCTCCTGGACTTGACTTCAGAGCAGCAACGCTCTCGGAAAATGCTGCGTAGAGAGAGAGAATATTAGTGATGGAAAACGCACAGTGCTTCGGATGTTGTTGGACTACAACTCCCATCATCCCTGATCTAACCCTTGGCTAAGGCTGGGTGGCAGTTGGAGCTCAGTAACATCTGGAGGACTATGTGTTCCCTATGCCTAGTTTAAACTGCTTTATTACCTAATATATATGGTGGCAGGTGGCCATGTTCGTGTGTAGAATAATAATTTATAAGGGAAACAGTAACATAGTCCTAGTTAAGATAAGCTTTCTTGTGTTTAAGCACAATTTTTCAGATGAGACAGCAGCACTACATTTATCTGTGTGGTTAGACACATGAAAGTTTATGAAAAATAAAAACTAGTTCATCTTACAGGTGCTTCACAAGTTTGTGTCATCAGTGTGTTGTGGAAAGGAACAGAGAATGATTCCTCACCCCTTCATATTAAAATTGAGGAGTTGGAGCAGGAAATGTGACTGCAGGGAAATTTCAAGATGGGCAGGTAAAATGCCCCTCTCCGCACAAAGGCTAATCATTGTAGAAATTTTACTGTCCCAGAAAGTAGTACTCATCTTAGTTATGTTTTTAGAAAGGAATATAGACATCCTCTGAGAGAAATGTTTGGGATATAAATGGCCTCGAGGATGGTGGCTGTAAGAAACCCTTCATGTTCTGAGAAAATGCAGCTTTCAGTGCCAGTTGATAGGAAGATAAGAGTGAGAAGAAAGGAGTTGCCTCCATACTCTGTTTATGGATTGTCTGGAAGTGTCTGGGTGGCTGTTGCAAGAGTGGGAGAAGATCCTGTGCCTCAGCATTTTGGAGTTAATTCTCTCCTCTGCTTGAATCACAAGTTGCACATCAATTGACCATTGTAGGAAGCAGAATATGAGTCGCTAACTAGAGAGCTGAACTCATCGAACAAGGCTGTGTTCTTATTAGACACACTTATAAGGTCGCTTTTATTCATCACCATGTATATTTTTTCCTCTTTTCTTTCATAATCTGTTGATGTGTATATTTAGTGGGGTAGGAACCTGGAGAAACCCACTTCAAGGGAGGATACTACCAAGTGAATTTCTTAGATATTTCTGAGAGAGAGTTCAGCCCATTTCCCTTTGTTCCTGGTAGATCAAGTAATTTGGGCAGTGAGCTAACTGCTTTGTTTTGGGCCTTAACGTGAAGCCTTTATCTTGGAAATGTAGTAGGAGATACAAACCAGGTTGACTAGTGGAAGTGAATTAAGGGTGTTGGGTTTTTTTTAAAAAAAGAAAGTATGCTGTGGCTGAGGTCCTATTTGTGCAGGCATAATGCCAAGTTATGCCATATAAATTTGCTGAGTGTTATGTTGAGACAACAGGGATTTGTATGGTTTGTCTTGCAATTTCCATTGCCATTGTTGAGCAGTGCACTGGTAGAAGTGCTTCATGGCTAGCACTTCCACCTTGGCAGTATTGTTGCTGTTGAGAACATAACATCAAAATCTAAGATGGGGTGAATGCCTCTTGACTGTCTTGCTGTCCTAAATACCAGGTTTGGTAATAGCCTTTTGATTTTTGTCTTTTGTTACAGATTTTCCAACTAACCAATGTCAGGAGATGGCGATGGCAGCACTAGAAGTCCCTCTACGGGATCTTTGTCAGGAATTGAGGTCCTGCCAGAACAGCCAAAGTATGTGTGCTTGCTGTCTCCTGAGCTTGTTGCCAAGGCACGGGAAGAGCTTCAGGAAAAACCAGAGTGGCGGCTTCGAGATGTTCAAGCACTCAGAGACATGGTGTGCAAGGACTATCCCAACTTGGGAACCTGTCTAGAAGATGCTTTCTTGCTCAGGTTTCTGAGGGCCAGGAAGTTTGATTATGATCGGGCACTTCAGCTTCTTGTAAACTACCACTGCTGTAGAAGAAGTTGGCCTGAGGTCTTTACTAACCTGAAACCATCTGCTATAAAGCCTGTATTGGAATCTGGTTTTGTCACTGTGCTTTCTCACTTAGATGCTGAAGGGCGCCATGTGGTTTGCATTCGTCCAGGTATGATTACTGTTTAATATGGAATTGGTTGTCTTTTTGTGTTTGCAAGTGTCAGCTTGTAAAAAGTGTAGGTTTTTTTTCCTTTTCCTTTTGTCTTAATTAGTGTTACAAATTTTGAGGGCTCTAACATGCTAACAGGGACATGGTAGCGATGCAGGTTAAACTGCAGAAGCCTCTGTGCTGCAAGGTCGGAAGATCAGCAGTCATAAGATCAAATCCACACGACAGAGTGTGCTCCCGTCGCTTGTCCCAGCTCCTGACAACCTAGCAGTGCAAAAGCATTCAAATGCTAGTAGATAAGTAGGTACCTCCACGGTGGGAAGGTAACAGCGTTCCGTGTCTAGTCACGCTGGCATGTGACCACGGAAACCGTCTTCGGACGAACACTGGCTCTACGGCTTGGAAATGGGGATGAGCACTGCCCCCTAGAGTTGGACATGACTGAACAAATTATCAAGGTAGACATGGGCACTTTGTATTCATATCTAGGATATGAAACATGAGCCTAGTTCCCACCCCCAGAACTGGCTGGACCACTCAACAGGCTCCATGCAATCCTGGGGTCCATCTTCAGTGGTGGCACACTAATCCCTGCAAGATCCCTGCCAGCTCTTCCTTGCCTCCCTGTGCATCTGACCACTCATTGGTTGAGCAGGGAGATTCTCCGTCCTCCATCCCAAAGTGATCACCTGTGTGGGGACGGGCCAGCCAAGCTCTTGCTGGGATTGGCATGCTGCTGCCAAAGAGAGAATGCAGAGGCATGTGAAGCCTGCTGAGTGGTCCGGCCAGATCTGGGGGTGGGAATTGAGCCAATGGTTCGTATATCATATCTCCAGATATGAATAGGAAGTGCCCATCTTTAGTGGAGAGTTCACTAGAGAAATGTGTTTCCAAAATATTTTGGCCCAATTTCATCTTTATTTTCATGTACACATTGTATAGTAATGCAGCTTTTCTTTAAATATCGCTAAACCTCAGACTTCACCTTCTGAGAAATAGGCCTTCTGTTTGGCTTCAAATACAGTGGTGCCTCGCACAACGATTGCTTCATACAACGATGAATTCACACAGCGATGGGTTTTTTTGAGGAATTTCCCCCATCGTTTAACGATGTTCTCTATGGGGGAATTTCACTTAACGATGTCCCTTTTTGCTCATTTAAAAGTGTCTTAAAATGTTTGAAACCTGTTTTAAATGCTTGGATTCCATAGTGCACCTTGTGAAACATTACAGTGGTGCCTCACACAACGATGTTAATTGGTTCCTAAAAAATCAACGTTGTGTGAAACATCGTTCTGTGAAACACCATTTCCCATAGGAATGAATTGAAAACCGGTTAATCCGTTCCAATTGGAACAGATTGCCGTCTTTAAGTGAAAAACCCCATAGGTAACATCGTTGAGTGAAACAATGTTTCCTCCATTGGAATGTATTGAAGCCGACTCAATACATTTCAATGGCTTTGCGAAGTCCTTTTTCGCTCCTTTTTAAGCGTCTTACAATGTTTGGAACAGGTTTTAAATGCTTGCAATCGTTAGCCCACCTCCTGAACCCTATGCAAACTTAATTTGGTGTTGTTCTGAGTCGTCCTTAATTTTTAGTGATTTTTTGAATTTTCTCTCATTGGAATGTATTGAACTTTCCATCCAATGCATTCCAGTGAGAGAAAATTTTAAAAATCACCAAAAATTAAGGACGACTCAGAACAACATCAAATTAAGTTTGCATAGGGTTCAGGAGGTGGGCTAACAATTGCAAGCATTTAAAACCTGTTCCAAACACTGTAAGGCACTTTTACAGGAGCGAAAAAGGACTTCGCAAAGCCATTGAAATGTATTGAGTCGGCTTCAATACATTCCAATGGAGGAAACATTGTTTCACTCAACGATGTTACCTATGGGTTTTTTCACTTAAAGACGGCAATCTGTTCCAATTGGAACGGATTAACCGGTTTTCAATTCATTCCTATGGGAAATGGTGTTTCACAGAATGATGTTTCACACAACGTTGATTTTTTTGGAACCAATTAACATTGTTGTGTGAGGCACCACTGTATTGAAGTATATGAAGCCTGAAAATACCTGGTGTTTAGAGAGCTTATTCTTCCTGAAGCAAGAGACCTCCTTCTTAAGCAAGAACTACTATAAAGAAGGACGAAGACTATTGACAGACAGCTCGTAGTTAAAAGCCAAATCAAATATTAAGGTTGGGAATACTTTGTTGGTTTCCTACTCAGTTTTGTAATTTACTATCTGTGTCTTACAACTATAGATAGATGGACACCAAGTAACTACCCGATTACGGAAAACATCCGTGCCATATACTTAACACTAGAAAAGCTCATTCAGTCGGAGGAGACCCAAGTGAATGGAATTGTAATCCTTGCAGACTACAAAGGAGTCAGCTTATCGAAGGCATCTCATTTTGGTCCCTTTATCGCCAAAAAAGTGATTGGAATTCTTCAGGTAAGATTTGGCTTGAGTGGGAAGGAGAAATGCTTGTGCAGTATAAAATATTGTGTCTTCCTGATTATAGCATCTCCCTCATCCAGGTAATGGATGCTTTCTTCTCTGTCTTTAGAATAATGATACTCAGCCCTTCGGGTTTTTTGAACTTCAGTCCCTGTAGACAGCATGGCTGGTGATCAGGAATTGTGGATATTAAAGTCCATTCCTGTGAACTTGAGAAGACTTTATGGTCTATCCAAGTGGGGTACTTGAGCAGTATACCCATTGACACACCTACATACTGATCTGAAGCAGTATGTACCAGATTATACAATGCATACACAAGTGATCAAAATGTTGAAGAGGTATAAATTGTGTGTATTTGTTTGATAACTGGCCACAGAGCCAGAAATTCGGAGTTCTGTTCTCCACTGTGCTTCACAGAAGAGCCAGGCTCTGTGGCCTTGGGCAAGCTCAGGATACCCCCAGAAGAACGGAAGGGTAATCTACTTCTCCTATCTAAAAAATCCTGAAAAAGGTCACTGTAAGTCAGAATTGACTTGACAGCACACAATCATAATTATTGTGAATGCCTTAGACATTATTCAGTATTGATAACACTTGATGCTGAATCAATTAGTGTTGATCAGTGTAATTACTAAATTCTGCATTTAACAACCTAATTCTAAAATCTCTTGCACCTGATATGGTGGTTCTTAGAATTGGGTAAGTGCGAACAAAGTATATATTTATCTGGCAACCTGAGGTAGCACTTCATGCATTGGATGAAGTGGACTCTAGTCCATGAAAACTAGCACCGTAACAGATGTGTTAATCTGACAAACCAAGTCTTGTCTGTTCTTACTGCTATATCATGGGTGGGACACATGATGCCCAGGATCACTGCAGGAAGAACAGTGCTTACCCCCATTTAAAAATTATTTAGATTTTTTTAAAATTCAGAAATGCTCTCTAGGGACACTGGGGAGTAATTTTCCCATGATAAGAGAGCCTTCCAAGTGCTCCTCAATGCTCTTTAATTTTTTTAAAGGGCCACTAGAGGAAACTGGGAGTTTTTCTAGCTTTTGAGAAAGCTTTTTATTGTTGTTGTTAAAATAATTTTTAGTTAATGAGAACTAACTGTAGCAACCTTTGTAGTGCATAAAATATATAGATCAGCTTCTGACCAAGTCGCTCCCCTTCAGCTCTGCCTATGAAAGAGGATCCTTGGGTTACTGGCAAGTTCGAAAAAATGGCCCTCAGCTATACTGAGCTCACCTCTTCTCTGATTCAGACTGATGTGGCTTCCCTTCTAGAAATAGGTTGTAATGCAAGAAGAAATTCTGGTCCCAGGATGTAAAAATTATAGTATGCACTTAACTCTAAATTTAAAAGCCTGGTGCTTTTTAGCTTAGCTTTTTCAGACTTCTAGGGACTAGAAACCTTTCCTGTAACAAATTGATTTGGTTCCATTGTGAGTTCATACAACAGTAGCAAAGATGAGGCTTATTTCCATAAAGCAGTTTATTTTGAAGACATACAGTTATTCCTAAACTGTCTAAATCTCATTGGCTTTCTCTTTTAATCCTTTTTCCCAGGATGGTTTTCCTATTAGAATAAAAGCTGTTAATATCATAAATGAACCTCGCATATTCAAGGGTATTTTTGCCATCATCAAACCTTTTTTGAAAGAGAAGATAGCCAATCGGGTAAGTAGGAACCATGGCTATTTGGAATTGTGTCAGTGGGTGGGTAATAGCAAGGAAAATCTCCTCTTTTCAGAAACACCAGACTGGTGTTGCTGGGCTAAATAGGCCCTTGGTGTGAAAAATTCTTTTTCAACACTCCAAAATGTTACTTTTTGGACTTTGACCACCCTGATTGGATTCTATGAGCTGTAATCAAAAAACCATGCTAAAATAAATCTATTGAGTCTTTAAGGTGGCAGTTTTAGTTGATCTTGCTTTGGGTCCTAATGTATTACTTAGCATTAGCTCACTAGAAGATTATCTTCTTTGTTCCTTTACAGTTACTCTGTAGTACTTGACAGCTAAGTTTTATTGATCTCTTTTACAGAAAACTTACCCCTCCCCTCAGTTTATTCTAAAGTCATCCTCCTTCACATCTCATCACACTGTTCCATGTACTGGACATATAAAGATCTGTTGATCTGCATCCTAAGCACAAATTAACATGAAAGTCACCACCAGATGGTGCATGAATGCTGTACAAAACAGATGGCATACATTTGAGGACTCCTTGCTCCTCTGAATCTTGCTCACCTCCAGCACACCATTTCCACCCCTTGAATATTTGGCATAGAGGAGCCGTATAGCTGCTCTCTTTCAAACTCCATCCACCAGATTTAGCCCCAACCTCTGATCTGTCCAGGCTCTAAATCTTTGGGTTGGTGAATCTGAATGTCTGTAGTCTTTCCCCTGTTCCCTTGGAATAGCCATATTCAGTTTCTGGTTTGTTCAAAACCTTTGATCAATCCTATCTTCCTTTCACTATTCTTCCTCCTCCATGCAGTTTACTGATTTGTTCAGGGAAAGGATGTATAGATACTATAAGCTTCCCTAGAGAGAGGGAAATAAATATGCAACCAGGATTACAAACCTAGAAAAAATTGTAACCAAATAGGACCAGTCCAAAAAATAGTTATTTTTGCCCTCCTCAGGTAGGTCAGTGGGCAAGCTGAGACTCATAGTCTGACTAATGGAATATTGATCCCATTAGTTTATTCAAGGAATACCACTCATTTCAATAAGAGTCTTAAAATATCTGAGTTTCTCTTCCTCAGTTTTTCCTTCATGGGTCAGACTTGAGTTCCCTTCATCACAACCTTCCCCCAGAAATCCTCCCAGAAGAGTATGGGGGCACTGCTGGGAAACTGGATATCTCTACCTGGAATGAGCTACTGCTGGCTTCAGAGGATGACTTCCTGTATGACTTCTCTCACTTGGCCATCTCCAGTGACTGTTCACCCCATGACCCACTGATGAGTGGAGAGATTGATGAGAAGCAATGTGATGACTCTTTGCGAAGCCTGAAAACACAGCTCTATTCCTGCTATTAGCTGCACTTACAGCTTCCAAAAAATCACTGTTCACAAAGAGACTGTGAACTTTGATGTGTTCCTAAAACTGTAGCCTATACATAGAGACAACTGTGGCACTTTACCTTGGAACCAAAGCAAACTGAAAATCAACAACAACAAAGGTAGCCATGGAGCAAGGTGAAGTTCAATCTGGCAAATGGGCGCAGTTTCTGTCAGGTCAAGTGTTTCTGTGATTTACTGACCCTTCACAAAAGAGCCACTCTCTCAGATGAAATGTCTCGTATAATTAATATCACAAAGAAAACTGCTAACAAAGCTCCTAAGCACAATTATTTGAGTGTAATTAAATTACACAACTTGTTTCCAAAAACAGAAATAAACAGGACTTATTTCCAGATAAGAACACAGTTTTAACATAATTTATTATCATAACTTATTTCTAAATAAGTATGGTTAGGCTCAAGGAGTTAGTCTCTCTCACATGCTCGAAGGGGCAAAATAACTTACAAGTCTGACAGCGCAGATCATATACCGTGTTCATGCTGCCCTTTCAGTGAAAAAATGTGACATAAAGATATTTGGCTAATTTTATGGCATATTCACATCTTAATCTAAGGTAATGATTTTTAACTGCAACTGTTTTGAACTCCAACTCCCAGCATTCTTGACTATTTGATATGATGGCTGGGTCTTTTGGAAGTAGAGGTTGAAAATATTAGTAGCCTAAAAAGGTTGGGAACCACTGATTCAATAGATAATTTCAGATTGTTAATAATGAGCATAAGTTTTTGTAGATGGATCATGTAGGGACTGTCACTCTTGAGGAGCAAGTCTTTGACTTGAAATGTGCAAGAGTTAGTAAGTACAGTGGTTATCACTAAATTCAGTGAAAGCACACAATCATTCTGCGTGTGTGAGAGAAATGAAACAGTTTATACCCATACTTGAACATGTGCAATAGACAGGACCAATGAAAAGGACTGAAGAGATTTGTGTATTAAATGTTTAGCTGCCAGTTAAGAGACTATTTTGTTAAAGTAGGTCTTCAGGCAGAATGCAGAACTTGTCCGTAGTTCTAGATGTCTATGGTAAGAGAAAGAGGCTTATTTAGGTATTATTTTGGGGTGATGGCATTTTTCAAATAGTGTCTAAACCAAATATAGACAGGGTATTGTACAAGCACAATACATGGTTTGTTTGTGGCCATTTTTTCCATTCAGTGTGTGGTATTTTGTCAGTTGGACCTCAGTGCGGTTTTAGTCTTGGCTTTCTCTACCAAGGGCCCTTTCAGCGACCTCTCAGAACTCATACATCAGTGTTTTAGATCCTCCTTTATATGGTTTTTATTTTAAGATCATGTGTGTTCTGTCTATCCATGTATTGATATTGTCTCTTTCTTCTTAGTATTGTGTTAGGGAAGCACATTCTGATTCCATTCTTCACAGTACAGTGACTACTACAGGCTCAAACCTTAATGGCAATTGGTACCCTGTATGCATTGCAGTATGCATTGACTGCTTCTTCATGCTAATAAGGTAGCAGGTTAACATATCATCTCATCTGATAGCACTTTTAAAATGACTGGAGCTGTTTGAAGACACATTTTCTTTGTGCCAACTAAGACCAGAAAATGGTGCTTAATTGTAAATATGAAAAAAAGGTCTTCAGAAGGACTTTATTGTATTATTAGTGCCAAACTTGTATTTTTCATTAATCACCTGCCTCTGTATTGCCAAAAGGTGATGCTGTTTTGCCAGGACTGTACTTCAACTAGCGTTCCCCTTTGCTTAAGTACCTTGTTATATACAAACTATCAGGAAGGTCATGTCATGCAACTTGTTTTTAATGCCTCCTCCAGGATTCCCACGCAAGCCCTCAATAAGCCCAGCTGATACCAATTTCTAATAGTCCTGCATGTATCTAATTATCTCAGTGTGGCAGACATAGAAAACTGCTTCTGAGTTAGGCATTCAGTAAGAAATTGAATATTATCTGCAGGAATAAGCAAATATGTACTGTAGATGTTTTGTACTATAGGTTTCATCAACCCCAATTAGCAGGTCCAATGGTTAGAGAAAATGGGAGGCTATAGATAATGGGCACTGTGTTGTCACCTAATACACACTTATCAATTTTTCTACTTAGAAATCACCTCCAAAAGAAGTAAGATCTTGGTGTACCATTCCACTAACTGTTGCTTTCTCACTAGGGATAGTGGGAATTATAATTTAAAAAGTCTGAGGCCCCCAGATTGCCTACTTTGATGTGTCTTTTCCATAGGAAGTAATATCTAAATTGAACTGGTCCAGTCTTTGAGGGCTGCAGTTGTAGTGTGCCACTTTGAAAGGTATCTTAAATCAGTTTTGCAAATTAACTTACTATTCTGTTGTAAGTTTTCACTGATCAAGTTTTTTTAAACATCAGAATGGCCTGAAGCATGTCTTAGCATTCATGAAAAGCTTCCCTGCAGCTTCCCACCTCAAACTGGCTTATGCTTTTCAGCAGAAGCTGTTGTAAGTAGTTGTTTCACAATTTCCTCAAGTTGTTTTTCTTGGAATAAGGAGAAAAATTCAAATGGTACTGAACGAAGAAGTTCATCGCTATGTACAAAAAAAGACTGCTATTTATTTTTAAAATGCAGTGATAGAAAGTAATTTCCTTTTCTCTTCAAAGACCTCTGTTGAGCAGATTAGTCCCAAGATGTGGGTGCTCATAGTTTGTAAAGAAAAGCTTGGGGTTCCTGTAAAAGTGCTCAGATGGAAATACGTTGATGATTCTGATGAGTTTTAACTCATAAATGTAACCAGCATGAAATTTACGTTATATTTTTCACTTTTTTGTCACTGTCCTCTTTTCACCTCACATATTCTAAAAAGTGGAACATGTAAGGCTGACACGAGATACGTCTTTTTGTTTTTTTGCTCCAAAGCAAAATGTTACCATCCTGGCCCCAACAGCTGTTTTTACACGGTATTTGCTGGCTCACCTTAGTTTAGTAGTGGCTGCATTAGAGGTTCCTGTTGTAAACATGCAGTAGCTTTAAAGTGTCTCAAGAGTACTATGACAACTAAAGCTTCCACAATTCAGGCAAGAGTATTTTAAAAACAAGGGAAATGCTGTCAACATATCCTGTATTTTTCTGAGGTTTTGATTGAAAATATTCTTTGATGATATTGAAACTTGTAGAAAAAGTCATTCCAAGCAGTTGCATCAGGGAGATACAAACTCAAGCAAGAGATGCTGTTAACCTATCTCAACTGTACTATTGCCTTTAAGTTTATCTACATAGGAAATAAAAAAAAATTATTATAAATAATACTTGAATTTTTACTATGAGCAGAATAAGCATCTGTAAATTCTGAGGCTTTCCAGAGGTAGGTAAGGTGCTTTCTTTCTACTCTTCAGTCAGTTTTTGCATTTTGTTAATTGATTCATATGAATTTGTTTGCCTTTTGCTGTATGTAGAATTTGGATGTTCAGTTGATATATATACCTTTGAGGATTTATTTTTATATTGCACTTTATAAATGACCAGTTTAAGTGTAACTTTATGCATGTGTGGATATTAAATAATTCTACCTTAAAGCAGCCTCTAGTTATTTCAAAGGAATACATGTGGATTTTTTATTGGATCTGTTGTGTATTTTGTGTTATGATAATTTGTTTGCTGCCCAGAGTAGTGGCTCTGACACTAGTTCGGTGGGATACAAATATTAATACTTTCCAATACAATATTACCAAGAACCCCAATTTTCCAGGGCTTTTGCATTTATAGAGCCTAAACACAAGCAGGAACATTTCCATTGCAAACATGTTGCTTTCTACCTGTAAAAGTGTGGTATGTATGGCTGTTCTGTATAGGTGTGAAAGATTGGCTATCAGGGTTTTGAAGGATGGAGGCAATTGGGATCATAAGTCCTGGAAAGTTTATTCCATTTCCTCTTGTCCTTGCCACAATCCTGCTGAAAACTCCCACATGCTTCCTAGGGAAATAGCAAGGGGAGGAGTTGATGTAGAAAGGGTAACCTTCTTTCCTTGTCTTCACAAGCTGCAAATTCTGACAGCCAGCAATGTGGAGGATTTTTTCAAGATCCAGAAAAAGAAATGGAAAACAATCATGTATTTCTAACTTAGTTTTAAAACCTGTATATTTGAATTATTCTACCTTGCAACTACCCTGTGTCCCCGAAAATAAGACTAAACCTGAAAATAAGCCCTAGTGTGATTTTTCAGAATGCTAGTAACATAAGTCCTATCCCAGAAATAAGTCCTAGTTAAGTGAAACCCCTCCACTATTGAGCAGCAACCAGAAGATGACATGACTGTAAAATAAAACATCCCCTGAAAATAAGCCCTAATGTGTTTTTGGAGCAAAAATTAATATAAGACTCTGTCTTATTTTCAGGGAAACACGGTAGAGCAAGCACACAGTGTATTGGTCAACATATGCTGAATTAAAGCCTAACAGAACTATGGTATTTTAACAAAACAGTGAAAGCAGGGGTATTGTAGCCACATTCTTGCCTAGCATTTTCCACACTACTCTGTATGCCTACACTTGACTCCGCTGAACTACTACTGAAAACAGACCATACTGGCTAGGTGTGTGTTTGTTTCTTTATTTATTCAACTTATATGCTGCCCACTCTACCCAGAGGTCTCTGGGCAGCTCACAATTGAAAAATAAAAGATAAAATGATTAAAACACAATTAAAATACAATCTAAAAATTGCCATCAGGACCCACAGTTGATGTTATTTCAATTAAAAGCCTTCTGGAACAGGAAGGTTTTGATCTGGCGCAGAAATGTCATCAGCATCGGCACCAGACGAATCTCAGTCGGGAGATCATTCCAGGTATCCAGGGCCCGAGCCGTTTAGGGCTTTATATGTCAAAACAAGCACTTTGGGCCCGGGCAGCAACTGATAACCAATGTAACGAACAGAATCGGCTTGATGTGTTCTCTAGTAGCCCCACTAGTCACCAGCTGCGCAGCTCAATTCTGGATCAGTTGCAGTCGCTGGACCGTCTTCAAAGGCAGCCCCACGTAGAGTGCATTGCAATAATCTATATGAGATGTTACCAGTGTGTGTGTAACTGTCATGAGACTCGACTTGTCCAGGTAGGGCCGTAGCTGGTACAATTTCCGTAACTGAAGGAAGGCGCCCCTGGATACCAAGTCCACCTGGGCTTCCAGAGTTAGACTGGGGTCCCAGGAGCACCCCCAGGCTGCGGACTCTGTCTCTTAGGGGGAGTGTAACCCCATTCGGGGCAGGGAAATGTCCCTCCAACCTGTCAGGTGAAGCACCACTAACAGCACTTCCGTCTTGTCTGGATTGAGTTTCAATTTATTAACCCTCATCCAATCCATTATCTGGTCCAGACACAAGTTCAGCACAGAAACCGCCTCACCTGGATTGGTGGAAAACGAGAAGTAGAGCTGAGTGTCATCAGCATACTGCTGATTCCTCAGCCCAAACCTCCTGATGGCCTCTCCCAGCGGTTTCATGTAGATGTTAAACAGCATGAGGGACAGTATCAAGCCCTGAGGAACCACATGACACAAATGCCATGGGGCAGAGTAACTGTCCCCCAGCACCACCCTCTGGACACGGTCAGCCAGGAAGCAGTGGAACCACCATAAAACAGTGCCCTCAACTCCCAACCCAGTCAGCCTATCCAGAAGGACACCATGGTCGATAGTGTCAAAAGCGCGTGAGAGGTCCAGGAGTATCAACAGGGTCACACTCCCCGTCTTTCTCCTGGAAAAGGTCATTGTACAGGGCAACCAAGGCAGTCTCCGTACCAAAACCCAGCCTGAAACCAGATTGAAATGGATCCAGAAAATCCGTTTCATCCAGCAGCGCCTGGAGTTGCCCGGCCACAACCCGTTCCAACACTTTGCCCAAATAAAGGAGGTTCAACACTGGTCGGTAGTTAACCACCAGCCTTGGGTCCAGGTTAGGCTTTTTAAAGAGTGGTCGAATTACCGCCTCTTTCAAGGTGGTAGGAACCACTCCCTCTCTCGAGGCATTCACAGCCTACTGGACCCAAGTACGAAACCCCCTGGCAGATCTTCCAATTAGCCAAGATGGGCAAGGGTCGAGCAGAGTGGTGGTAGAACAGACATATCCAAGCACCGTGTCCATATCCTCAGGTCTCAAAAATTGAAACTCATCCATTAATATTTGACCTAAGCATGGCACACTGGACACATCCTCTGATTTTGCAGTAACAGTAGAGTCCAATCCACAGCGAATATGAGCGATTTTCCCCTCAAAATGAACGGCAAACTCATCACAGCAAGCTGAAGAGCAGTCCGGGACCTCTACCGGATTTCCTGGTTGAAGAAGATCCCGGACCACCCAAAACAGCTCTGCTGGACAACATTCTGAGGAAGCAATACGGATGGAGAAATAATGCCGTTTCACCAGCCGTATTGCCATGAAATAGGCCCGATAATAGGCTCTAAGTCGTGTTCGATCGGACTCCCAGTGGTACTTCCTCCACCTGCACTCCAGCTGTCTCCCCTCTTGCTTCATCGCCCGCAGTTCAGAAGTATACCAAGGGAGTGGGCGCTTAGGCGCAATCATGTCAACCACCCGGGTCATCTCCCTATTCCATAGGGTGACCTGAGCTTCAACAGGAGCGCTGACCATATCAGACAGTGTTGAGATCTGTAGTTCAAAAAAGTAACTTTTTTGAACTCTGATCAAAAGTTTGATGTAGAATTGAACTATCACTTGAAAAGAAATAAGAAAAATAAATAACACAGAACACTTAGTGTTAATCAAACATGTTTATAGTGCAAATATTAAATGTCAAAATGGACAAATTGGTACACTGGCTTTTACAAGCATTGGTCATTAGAAAGAAGCACTTCAGTAAATGCTTCATTTCAATAATTTGCTTAAAGCATACTGGATATGGACCCTATGAAATAAAGTGGCAAATACTACTATTTAGCAAAACACATGTTCTGTATAAAAATCTGTCTTTTACAATGATCTAACAGTTGCTGATTTGCTACACTACATTAACATGCCATTCTCTACTGAGAAAATCTACTCCTACCTATTAAAAACAACACTACTAGATACATTTCCCAAAGCAGAATGTAGACTTACAGTATGGCTTTCACCTCCATATACTGAAGCATAAGGACTTTAAAATATATTACTTTCGGCCTAATTAAGCTTTCTCCAATAGCAAAATGCATCCTGTTTACACTACAAGTTTCTTTTGAGTTTTACAAAATGTTTAAACAGCAGAGCTGTAGTAGAATAACAGTAAAGCTAGCTTTGAATTAAACACATCAAACTGTATATGGTTTAGATCTTGGCTCAAGCATAATACCAGAGAGCAGCTGTCTATTCATCTGTATGTTGCAGGAGATACAGCCAGAATCTTGGCTCCAAGAAGCAACACCGAACATTTGGCTTTCAGCAGAGCAGAATATAATGTTTCCACACTTTCAGAAAGTTACCATTTAACTGAAATCCCGATTGGTAAGGACAAGAGGGGCCACTAAGGTCCAGAGATAAAGGAGGAGACAGACCCAGCTTGAGGAGATTTTCACCCAGACAGCTGGCCACTTGCTTCTCAGGTTTTTGGTTTCGGCATCAGGGCTATACAATAAAAGAAAGAGGTAAATGAATTAAGCCATAGCTTGAAAGCCTCATTAAGACAAGAGAAAAACAAGCCATTTTTAAAACAAGTCAAAAAACAAGAATGTAGTTTTATGCATAGTTTTATGCATAGCTATAGATGGTTTTATTTTTGAAATTCTTTAGAAAAGTATTGGGGTGTGCATTGGGGGGGAACCATTTTGAAACCTGCCTCATTGACTCCAAAAAAACTACACCTCACCTTTTGTCTAAGGGGCAAAGTCCTCATGTTTTCTGAAGGCAACATTAGCTACCCTAATAATTACAATGGGGAAAATCAAATGTCTAATGCTATTTTTGTAAGAATTAGATGAAACTGACTTGAGTCTCTTCTGATTCAATCAGATGGCCCTATCTGGGATGTCCTTCCCCAGTGAAACCTGCCTGTGAAGCATCTCATCATGCTTAACAGAACACAACCAAGCAAAAAGGACATGTATTTACACAAACCCTGTACTTTATACACCTTATAGCAATGGCTCAGAAAATCCAAAAGATCTATAACAAAGCTTGCAAAGGACTGATTTTAAATAGTTTTACTGTTTTCTAAAGGGAGAAGTTTTCTAAAACCAGGGCACACAAATCTGCCCTGTGAACCACAGAATGAACTATAAAACAAGGCCCAAACAACAAAAAGTATCTCCTTTCAGACCATGGAGGAAAACAGTGCCATGTAAACTGTGAAGCAAAATAATGGGCTTAGAGGAATTATTGAAAGTGGGTTGCAAAGGGTTAAAACTCTACAAGCAAGATACTCCGCTGCATGACATGTAAGCCAGTCAATTGCAGGGATCCACCATTGTGTCAAAGACTAGGCTAAAGCCTGGCAAATTTAAGTATACAGTGGTGCCCCGCATAGCGACGTTAATCCCTTCCGGATTAATCGTCGCTATGCAGAAACATCGCTAAACGGAACGGAAAAAGCCATAGGAATGCATTAAACGAAGTTTAATGCGTTCCTATGGCTCCCAAACTCACCGTTCAGCGAAGTTCCTCCATAGCGCCGCTATTTTCGTGCCCTCGGTAAGCGAGGGCAGGGCGCGAAAACACTTGTGGTGGCCATTTTGGGCACCCGGCGGCCATTTTGGAACCGCCGATCAGCTGTTTAACAAAACATCGCAATGCGAAGATCGGTAAGTGAAACGCTTACCGATCATCGCAATGCGATGTTTTGCCTATTCAGAACATCGCAATGCGATCGCATTAGCAATCTAAAAAAATAGATCGCTATGTGGATTCGTCATTAAACGGTGCGCTCGTTAAGCGAGACACCACTGTAATGGTTACTGAACCAGGTGCTATACTAGCAGCAATCTTTCAAAATATGTTTGGCTAGGTCTACTCTCTTTTACCTCTGAGAAACTGGGAGATAACATTGAAACACACACCAATGGCTGAAATCCTCTTGCTTAGCATAGTGATTCACAAATACAGTAGGCCCACTGAATGAATGGCTGAAATCCTGCTGCTTAGCATGTAAGTTGCATCTAGGCTCATTAAGTCAATAGAACTCAGAGCAGTTGAGATGACAAATTTACACTATTCAGTGTATCTCCTTTAGCTGCAACTTGCTATGCTAAGCAACAAGGATATCCCTGTAATACCATGCCTCTTTTCACTCTGTGGCAAGAATTATAATTCTGATAAACAATCAGAAACAGCATATTAAAGCATGCATTAAAATCCACAAGGTTTCTGTTCAATCTATTAACTCAGCATACCAGAGAGGAATACTAACCTTCTTTACAAGACTGAGAATACATGTAAAACGTTTTGAGTACTTAGAAAAGCAGCTTATTCATCAACTGTAATATTATTCTTTAATCTATATCGACCAGTGTGGCGTTCACCCAGGTCATGATTATTCATATACTATTTGCATAGACCAATGGAAGTGTTGGAGGGGTGGAGTCATAAGGAATAAGAGACTCAGCAAGAGGAGGAGGAGTTGAGATAAGGTTCCAGAGATAGGGTTTTGAGATGGAGAATTAGAGGGTTAGTTAGAAAGTAGAGAGAGAGTTTTGGAGTTTGGGCGGGAGAGTGGTGTTTGAGGGTGGATAAAGAAGAATGCTTGTTTAAGAGTTAACAACATTGCTTGTTCTGTAAACACCTGTATCAATAAACAATTTCTATCTGGTTCTTTTAAAATGACATATGGTCTGGACATCTATTATTAATAATAGGTTTTGTTGATGACATCAACTGGTGGCAGCTGAGGGGTACGTAGCATGAGCTCTTTGGCTGATGAAACAAACAGGGGCCACGTGGAATCGTGACAACCAGATACTATTTCATTTGCATCTCTAGGTGGAGCTGGAAAAGATAGCTATCTGAAATCCTGGAGAGTCATTGGCAGTCAAGTACCAGGCAGAGAGCAGCTCTCCAGATGCTGCTTGACTGCAACACCTAGGATCCCTCATTGTTAGCTATGTTGTTTAAGGCTAAGCTCACCTGTACCAATTGGTAAGCGTCATCATGATATACAGGGAGGCAAGAAGCAGCATGAAGTGGAAGAAGGAATAGTTATACTGGACACCATCCTTTTCATTGTCTAAGACCCGCTGAACATCTCCTTCTTCTACATCTCCACCAGCAGTGGCTGGAGTATCATCCAGAATGACACTGTCACTTGTAGACAGGGTCAGCTTGTTCACTTGGCTGTAGTTGGAAGATCGAATGCTGCAAAATAGTCAGAAGAAAGGGGATTTACACATTTCAAATGTGTGAAAAGCATAGTTGCCTTTAAATGATTAGTTTTAAAAAGGTTCAAGAATAAATTAAGCCTCCACTTCTCTAAAAGTGCATAAATGTAATTCTACCACTGATGCTAAGCAAGCTTTGCATGTCAGCTGCATGGAAAGAGGACTGTTGAAAACCAGATGTAAGCTGCTTTGAGTTTGGATTGCACAAGCAGGAAGTTGGTCTCTCTCTCTTTCCACCCATCATCTTGTCTCATAGAACACTGATTTTTACAATCAATGTAGAAACTAAGAGTGCCAAAGAATGAATCCCTTACCAGATTGTCATGTCTAAAACACTAGCACTTAAACTATCATTGAATCACCACTCTTTGAAAAGTTAAACATCCATGAATTTAGTTACATGATTGTTGTGGGTTTTTCAGGCTCTTTGGCCGTGTTTTGAAGGTTATTCTTCCTATCATTTTGCCAGTCTCTGTGGCCGGCATCTTCAGAGGACAGGAGGCAGAACTCTGTCTGTGCTCTGTTAGTTACAATATGAAGACTAGCTCAGTGGTGTTATGAGTTAACACTCCATGGTTCTGGCAAATTTTAAAATATACAAAAGTAACCTTACATTCATTTTGAAGTTTCCTCTAAGTTAACACACAAAAAACTTGTATCTATTTAATGTATGTCAACTTTATGATACCATTTTCCTATGTGCCTGCAGTTTCATAAATATGAATCTCTGCTCTTACCTAGAGTACAGGAGACAAAGCACAAAAATAAAGAGCCCGACAATACTCTGTGCATCCCACCACTGTGGAGATTTTTGTGGTTCAGGAGTAGGAGGAACAACAACAGTTGTATTCAGTGGGGAGGAGGTAGGTACAGCTATTTGGCTGATGATGTTCAGAAGACTTGGGTTACAGTTGCGATCTGGAATGTTATATTGGAGAGATCAAACATGCAACAAACTGTCTTTGTTATAGCAACTAACAGAAGACTTTGTTTGGTAGCTTATTAAGAAGCTCCACACTTATTTATTTATTTAATATGCTGCCTTCCACACCCATGGTGGCTAATAATCAGTCAAAACATAATAAATGCAGTTTAAAACATAGTAAGATATATTTTTTAAAAAGTAAACAAAAATATTATAAACCATCATTTAAAAACACATGAAACCACACCTTTCTTAAGTCAGTATATATAGTATCCCATTATAGCCTCTGTTTATCCAAGTCTGTCTACAAAAGAAGGTCTTTGCCTGCTGGCAAAATGAAGTGACTAAACTCTACAACGGGGTGGGGTATAGTGAAGAAACTGTGTGGTAGGAGTGGGGAAACTGTTTTCAGTCCACAACCAAATTCCAATTCGATAAAGGTCTGAGGACAGAATCCTCCAGCGAGTGGGACGAGATCCACTGGATGAATGAGCCCCAGAAGAGAATGCAGAGGCAAAGCAAAATGGTTGTGTCTAACCATCATTCTTCTCCCTCTGTGGACTTCTCATCATCAAGCACAGAGAGCACAGTTGCATTCTATTCCTGCTCTCTGGAGGAGTTAAGCCACAGTGCAACAGCTTGTCTCCTGCAAAGCACAGCTCAGTTTTATGTAGGGAATTTTATCTCTAAATGCCCTCTTAACCTCATCACTGATGAGAGGCTGTAGCCGCAAAAGTGCTTAGCAAGATAGGGAAGTCCAAGGGCTAGGCCCATCTTTAGAAACATTCCAAAATATTCAAATTTCTTCCCACCATTAATGCACAAGGGGTCTGTTCACTTCTACAAGTACACATGTGAAATACATGGACAACTGCTTGGAAATATGAAAGCTTACCAGGCTCATTGGACATAGCTGACCAAGTGAGGTACATGGTGTAGAGAGTAATGACAGATGACTGGAGAAGGCCAGAATGAGGCTGATGTTCCTGTTGAAACAAGCCATTTTTTACTGCATAATCAAATTTAATCAGGTTAAAAGCCTTGACTGGAAATCCTATTCCACTTTTATTAGAGTTGTGTAAGAAATACACTAGCATTATCAAATAGTGATGAGTAACATTCAAGGATTGTTTCAATCCCTTTTCCCCTAAATTACTGACTGGATATACTTTAATTTAGGCACCAAACAGCTATTTCAGGATTCTCTAAACTGTTTCACTTCCACTTAAGCAACCACAGCTCACTGTCATCACTCCAAAAGTGCTGACATTCAGCTAGCTCTGTAACCTTTGGTTCCCCCCCTCTTCTTCACCACAGAAAACATCTGCTGCCATGCTACATATGAAAATAACTAACATTACAACATATATTATTTTTCAAAATTATACTAGACCTCATTCATAGGTCAGTGGGCGTGAACCAGCACATTAGACTAGCCTCAGCCGCCCCCCCCCCGAACTCTCCTGTAAATTATACAGCTTTACTGAGCAAGCCAAGAAAATGCCCTGAAGGAGAAGTATCACATCTATCTAAAGGCCACAAAAATTCAGATCTGTATATCTGATCCACATAATGAAGCTATGAAAAATTCTTCATACCTGGACTTTGGGAAGGATTGATGTGATAGACACAGCAATGCACACAATCATATTGAAGCTGATGAAAAACTTGTTCTCAGTACAGCTATCAGGTTTTGTGTAGAAAACATAGAAGAGCACAATGGCAACTAAGGACAGGATATAGTTCAAGCCGGTACATGACAGCAGAGCTGAAAAAAATATACCTCTATTATAAGATGAACATAATAAATTAAATTAAGCATCGTTTTTATTAATATCAATCTAATCCTATATTTTCTAAGAGTAAGGTTACTCCATAAAGACATAAGACTGATTACTGTAATTTCAAATAAAATATTAGATTTCTCCTCCCCTGCAAGGCTTACTATTGCTACAAATGGATGAAAAAACCTATTCTTGGCTTGATTTCCTACTTTTGCAACCTCCATATGAAGCATATTTGTTCTCAATCAGTACAGCATCTACATAATTTTTCTTTCTCACCAGGGAGAAAGACTAAAGAAAAGCAGTTACTTGATTTGCACCTGTGAAACTAGAGTTGAATTGTGAAACATCCTTTGTTCAGATTATCACAACTTATTTATTTATTTATTTATTTATTCAATCCTAAACTACAGCTAAAACATTTCCCACAGTGTAGCTACAGTGCAGCAGCAACTACTTGTGCTGTCAATACTGAGAAGCTTGGCCAAATACAGATATCTGTTACTAAAAGCAAATAATAAACTTCCCTATTTCTTATGCATCTTTGCTGTTATCCACTAAATGCCACTTACCAGCATACCAACACCTGGAGTTTCCCTCTTCCATTCGTTCAACCCAGGATTCATTCCAGGAATGAGCAAAATCTACCAGAAGCACCAGCTGGATGAGAATGAAAAAGAAGGCGCCAATAGTGCCGATTGCAAACAACGCTAGAAGGAAGAAAAGAGGGTTAGCAGCAGCCTGTAACATTTGGTAACCTTGGGCCAAAAGTAACTGGCTGAGGTTCTGTGACTTTCTTCCTTCACTCAGCAAAGATGTTCAAACATGTATTTATGCTTCACCCTTGTGTTACATCAGCTCATCAGTTGTTATACTCTTCTCCTACACCTGAAGCAGCATCTCATAACTACAGGTACCTCTAACAATCACATTAATATAAAATGCCCTGTAAAAACTGCAAAACCTATAGAGATTCCAGGGGTGTATGGTTATGTATGGCTTCACGTTTATTGTTTGCTTTACAATAGTCTTAACTGAAAAACTGAATGAGCTATCTAAATTCTGCAGGACTATAATTTGAGTCAAAAATCCCTATGGAACATGGGAAGGGGAAAAACAAAACCAAGTGCTAGGCTGAATACACATACCACAATACTTCAGTTATTTCTGACAACCAGAATCCCACTGGCCTATACTGTTCGTGCAATACTCAGTTGTGCACATGGAAGTTTCTACAAGGAGATATCCAATCAGCCCAGTTTTTGTACAGCTGATGGTAGAGCAACTGTCAAAAAAGCCTGGAGATGGAAGTAAGCCATGACAGTCTTTCAAAGAAAGGAATAAGGAAGGCAAGGCCAGTGTGCTTTTGGACAGATCACTGCTTCTTCTTGACAACAAAAAGACACACCAGCCGCACATTCGGTTCCGCTTTTCCTACAACATGGTCAGAACTTGCTTCCAATTCCAGACTTGCTTTCTTCTCTGCCATGTCTCTCAAGCTGTGGGCAGGTAAGCACAAAGCAAGCTGTGAACTGTGGGAGCTCAGCAAGAGGAGACCCACTCTGAGGAGTATACTGGCCAATACATTGATCTCCCCTTTTCTCCAAGAAGTCCAGCTGACATATAGCAGCCTCACCCTCCTTGCTTTGTGCTCACAATTCCATGAGGTTACGTTAGGCTGAGACACAGTGAGCAGACCATGGTCATCCACTCAGTTTCAAGGTCAAGTAGGAATCTGAAACCAGGCCTCTCTAGTCATCGACCAACATTCTAATTGTGTTCCCTTAGCTTTCTTAAGGTGGATGAGGAACAAGCAGCCCACTGTTTTGTAAAATCTCAGGGGCAGAGGAGAGGAGTAGCTGTTCTCACACAATGGAAAATGTACTTTCTTGGATAACGTCTCCTAGAATCTCCTGGCCAGCATAGCCAGTGTCCATCCTGGCTAGAAGACTCCAGAAACAATACTGCAAATAATTCCTTTTGCAAGGTCAGATCTATAATATACAGATAGCTGGTTGGATCATTTAAGCCCAATACCAACTCCTCCTTGCCACAAAGCCAGTCAAGGTCCAGTCCCTGGGAGGCATAGTTACACTGGCCTTGCTGGATACACTACAACTGAGTAGCTCACATCAGGGTTTTGACTAACTTCTGAAGAGTTTACAGGCTGAGTTTATGTGGCAATTGGTCACATTCCTTTAATATCAATATCTTTCTGTAGGCCAAAAGCACAGCACTACCTGTATGATTTTTGGAAAAAGAAAAACTGAAGACAACTACATTTAAAAAACTGATTACAATTGTGCTCCGTTTTACGATTACCCTGCATTACAACGAATCCGCTTCACGATTGCAAAACGATGGTCTAAGTAGGGTTTTTTCACTTTGCGATGATCGGTTCCCTGTTTCGGGAACCGATTTTTTGCAAAACGATTTTTAACAGCTGATCGGCGGTTTCAAAATCGCCGGCGGGTAATTAAAATGGCTCCCCCTGTGTTTAGGGATGGATTCTTCGCTATACAGGCACCGAAAATGGCCGCTGTATGGAGGATCTTCGCTGGACGGTGAGTTTTTAGCCCACTGGAATGCACTGAACGGTTTTCAATGCATTTCAATGGGCTTTTTATTTTCGCTTTACGACGTTTTCGCTTAACAGTGATTTTCCTGGAACGGATTATCGCCGTTAAGCGAGGCACCACTGTTTATTTCTTTAATCATGAATACATACCAGTTGTGAAAGGCCCTTCTGGAATGTAAAATGCTCCAACCATGATGCCAACAACTGCAGCAATTTTGAAGAACCAGAAGCTGTTCAAAAAACAAAAATAGATGTGACTGGGGAGTTATCATTCCTATCTGTAACAAATCCTCTTTCTCTACCAAAGATACGTCATAAGGAGACTTTCTAATAGTGATGAAAAATGAGCATGTGTAATTCTTTGTTTCAAAAAGGTTAAGAACCACTGATCTAAAATTAAGCTTGCAAGTCCGAAGCTGCTTCTGATGGGGACACAGAAGAGGGCCTTCTCTGTTTTTACTCTGGACTCTGGAACTCCCTCCCACAAAAGGCCAGACTGGCACCATGCTACCAAAGATACGTCATAAGGAGACTTTCTAATAGTGATGAAAAATGAGCATGTGTAATTCTTTGCACTACAATTCTACTTCTAGTCATCAAGTCCGAAGCTGCTTCTGATGGGGACACAGAAGAGGGCCTTCTCTGTTTTTACTCTGGAACTTCCTCCCACAAAAGGCCAGACTGGCACCATCTTTGCTGTCCTTCCGAAAACAGGCAAATACCTTTCTCTTCAGACAAACTTTCTCTTATGAGTAACTGGCTACATGGCTAGTTACATGATGGTTGTTTAGATTAATTGATTTCTATTACTGCTCTGACTGGGTCTTTAGTACTACTTGTGTTTACCATCTCTCAGAGTGGTATTTGTTTGCTCCTTGTTAGTATTTGCATCCTTGTTGTTTTAGCTTTAATACTGCCTTTTAATGATGTAAACTGTCTCTTTATACTTGTTATTCTTAGCTTTAAATATTGTTAAATATTGTTTGTTAATGGTGTAAACCACCATTGTATTCTCATTGTTTTCAGCTTTAAATATTGTCTTTCAATGATGTAAACTGCCCTGGGTGATTTTAAAGAGAAAGGTGGGGCAAAAATATTTTTAAATAAATAAATAGGTTCCTAAAAACAAGCCCAAAGTTGCCACTACAGCATAAACCCTGGGTGATTTTAAAGAGAAAGGTGGGGCAAAAATATTTTTAAATAAATAAATAGGTTCCTAAAAACAAGCCCAAAGTTGCCACTACATTTGAGCATAAACCCTGCAGATGTCCTGTGACTTAAAATGGCGTGTTCTGCAACCGCATCTTCTTTTGTGATCATTTAAATATAAGCTAATAACCCCTACTTGCATCTTAGAATCATTTTTATAACCATTGTAACTGGTGCATCTACATTGCTGTGTGTTACAACAGTGTGTGGTGTTTATGGTAACATTTTAGAGATACGATCAACAGAATCTTCCTTTTTACTATTGTCATCAAGAAATCACTTGGTCATAAGTGAGGGGTCTGCCGTACCAGCCTTTATAAGATTGCATACACTTGCCATCAAACCAACAGAAAACAGGAAAATAAAGGAAGTGGCATACACATGGGGACCTAGAAGACACCTCAACAATACAGTCCCTGCTTTAATAGAGGAATGGACAAGTTGATGTGTAAAAGATGCTTCCTATGTTGCAGCTGATAAAAACACAGAAACTTCAAAATCTGGCAGCTGGATGTGCTAGGCCAGAGGTCCCCAACCCCTAGTCTGTGGTCCGGTGCTGGTCTGTGCTGAGCAGGACCGGGCCCTGGAGACAGACCTCCCAACCCACCCACCCCGCAGTACTTCCCCTCCGCACAGCCCCTTTGCACATGCATGCACGCCGGCAACCACTCCCCTACCCTTTTGCACATGTGCACAAGCACCTTCACGGCCACGGCACCGTTGTTTGCACATGTGCACGAGCGTGGATGCATGAGCACCCTCCCGCTCCTTCACGCGTGTACACAAGTGTACGCATGCCTGTGCAAGAGAGTGCACGCTCCTTCACGCATGCATGCAAGCGTGAGGGGGTGCCCTGCCATCCCCAGCCAGTCCACGGGGTTAAAAAGTTTGGAGACCCCTGTGCTGGACAGTAGCCTAGTTCTTATGCAGAGGGAAAGCAAACTGGTTCAGCTTAGGTGATGGATACTGAAAACAATTATTGAATTAGGAATGCATTATTTCAATTAGATAAAAAATTCATTGACTGTTCAGCCAAAGCTAGTATTTTCAGACAACTGGGGTTTTAGGGCTTTTTTTAAGTTCTAGTTTTTAAAACTGTACTTTTAAAAGGTGACTGTAGTCTGCACCAGGCTTGAACAGGGGCCATTATTCATCACTTCATGAATTAGAAAATATTTATATTAATTTTGTCAAAGAAAACATATATATTTACTTTTCAGAGAGATTTCTAACCAAGATATCAGAAATCAATGCAATTCTTTTACACATAAACATACAATGCATATAGATACATGTATACATATGTGTATGTTTGTGTATACACAAACACAGACACAGACACACATATATATTCCAAAGATAGTAAAAATTGAAATTAATAGTAACCGTGGTTATACAGCTATTTATCTCCATTGGAGGCATACTTATACAGCCACCAAGACTGGAACAATGAAGCCACTTTTAATTGCCACATGAAACTTCCCCACCAAAATGAAAGCATGTATTCAGTTTTTCAGTTTCTATATACATAGATTACAAATGATAATGCAAGGAAAGACAAGACAAATCCACCTCCAAACATACCCATTATGCACAGCTGCCCTTGGATCTTTACTTGATTTCACTTGTATCATAAGAAGTGCAAACAGGCAGAAGAACACGGCCATAGCAAAACTAATTCGGTAGACTGCTCTGTACCCAACCAAAGCTTCACAATCATAGCTGTTACAAAATCCAGGTATCTGAAATAACAGAACAATACATCCAAAAACTGATTATGCAATATCAGCATCCTTACCATATACTCCTGGGACTGACATAGCCATGAACACTAAAAGAAATTAAAATTCAAAAATGAAAGTAAAGTCCAGTTTTTATATAGTGGTTCTGACAAATCCAACAAAATGGGTTCAGGTTAAATGTTATACAGGCTTGGTCTGCTAGACATCTCAGCAGCTTATTATTCACTGTATCCACCTCAGTCTGCTCACAGGTATGGTGCTTGGGAGTTCGTGTTACAGTGCCTTCTGTCTCTCCTGGATGACCTGTCTCAGAGGTGATCAGGATGCCTTGACTCCTGGCCTGTGGGGAGGAGTTGAATCCTCCCCAGCCTTGTTTCCAGGCTTCTTTATCTGGGCTGAGACAGCAGATCTAGTTCTGTCTTCTTCCTAATGCTCTTTAACATTTATATAAAGCTGCTGGGGAGGATTATTTGGGATCTGAGTGTTTGGTCTCATCAATATGTAGAGGACAACCAATTCTCCTTTCCACCTCATGTTATTTCAGGGAGACATCTGAACTGTTCTGTGAAGAAAATAATGGACTCAAAACAGTCTAATAAATTGGAAGCAAATCCAGTCGAAACAAGTACAGCTGATCTGGGAACTGACGTTCAATTTGTGCTACATGGAACAGCACTCTTCCTACACAGGCAGCTTCATTATTTGAGGGCTTATTGAACATCTGAACCACTGATGTTCAAATCTCAATAGTGGCCAATACTCTGTTTCCCAGCTGAGAAAGTATATCAAATATGCTCACTCTAAAGAAATGCAGATGTAGTCAGTGGAGCAACATATGTCTTAGTTACATCATTTCTGAACTATCAATCTATATATGACTGCCTTGAAGAGTATTTGGAAACTGCCATCATCATAGAAAGCAGAGGCCCAAATCATAAGAGGCTGCATGCAAGAGTATAAGACTCCTTTGCCGAAACAACTGCATTGCCTTCCAATTTGCTTTTCATCACAATAAAGGCATCACTGCTAAAAGAAAATATATTTTAAAAATTCAGAAAAACAATCACATGCTCTCATTGTATGCCCATATCAGGGAGCAATTATTCTTGCAACACAGAGAGAAAAACTGAAGAGCTTCTGAAGAAAGGTCACAAAATAAATTAAAAGACAATACAAAATTGCACTGAAGTTCTCCAGTGTACACCTGGAATTTTGTCCTCTGATACTAACCTGACTAACATACCGTATTTTTCCATGTATAAGACACTACTTTTTCCTAAAATCATTACACTAAAAATTGAGGAGTGTCTTTTACTCAGAAGTAAGCCGAGACAGCTGAGGAGAGAAAAAAATGAATTGAGGAGTGTCTTTTACTCAGAAGTAAAAGGAGAGAACAAAATGACCCGTACCTTGCCTCTGTAAACAGGCTTCCTTCAATCACGAGGCTTAGCTTCCCACAGTCAGGAGACTTAGCTTCCTCCATTCATGAGCCTTATGGAACTTACATCAGTTGATGCTGAACAAACCAATTGGAACACACCTTCTTGGAGGCGGAGCCTGTAGGCAGTGCTCAGATTCAGCAAGGAGTCATAATGTCCTAGTGTTCTGAGCCCAGAAGCTGAATATTCAAAGCTAAGTTTTCTTAATTTTTGGATAAGAAAAAAAGGGCATGTCTTATAAACAGGGGCTCTTATAAACAAAAAAATACGGTAATCGTGATGGTAGAACGATAGAGCTGGAAGGATCATCGAGTCCATCCTCCGTCAGAGAGGCACAGTGGAGAATTGAACTCCCAACCTCTGACTCTGCAGCCAGAGGTCTAAACCCCTGAGCTATCCGCAGCCCAAAGAAACCGACAACTATTAGTTAGATCCAGATTAGTTAAGATTCTTCAGCCTGCTCCAAGGCAGATGTTATATTTGTTGCTGAATCAGTATCCAGTGACTGGTGTTACAAACAGACTGACAGCCCCATATCATACCTTTTTCAGCTGCTTCTCCATACCTGGTGCCAGCATGATGCAGGCAACCAGAGTACTGAGGAGGAGGAGGAAGGCATAAATAAGCCGGGTCACGGTAGAATTCTTGCTGTTGGGACAACAGCGACACAGCAAACATGATGCACCGCTGAACAGACATGGAATCTAAAAAGCAGAGATGTGAATGATATGAGCTTTCATCTTGAGTATTTACCCTTTCAAACAGAATTTTCTTTTTAAAAAGCAACAATAAGAGTTATAGGATTGCAATATTGAAACAAAATAATTAACACTAGACAAATAAAAAATGATTTGCGATATTCATTAAAAATTGCTGATTCGTTAAACACTCGTCTCTTTGTATTCATGAGTTCCAGAGACCCTGACAAATACAAAGGGATGAATATTTGTACATTTTTTACATTTTTAAAGCCATCTGCCTATGGCTTTCCCACTCTGCCTATGGGCCCGCCAATCATAGGCAGCGAGCCAGCCCCACAGCCACCCATCCCCACAACCTTTCCCCCACCCACTTCCCCTCCCTACCTTAGCCGCTGCCGCCATCTGCCGCCCTCAGCGCTGCCACCATTCATCACTGCCCACTGTGGTGGTCTCCACAGCCACAGTCTGCCATAAGGGACAGTGTGCTTTGCAAAGATGGCGGCTGTGGCATCTTTCCCTCAGCGCTGCCACCATTCATCACTGCCCACTGTGGTGGTCTCCGCAGCCACAGTCTGCCATAAGGGACAGTGCGCTTTGCAAAGATGGCGGCTGTGGCTTCTTCTGGGGCAGGGAAGTTGCAGGCACCATCTTTGCAAAGGGCAGTCTAGATTCCCTTAGCCTACGTTAAGAGAATCCAGGCTACCCTTTGCAAAGATGGCGGCTGTGGCTTCTTCTGGGGCAGGGAAGTTGCAGGCACCATCTTTGCAAAGGGCAGTCTAGATTCCCTTAGCCTACGTTAAGAGAATCCAGGCTACCCTTTGCAAAGATGGCAGCTGCAGCTTCTCTTAGGGAAGTTGCAGCCGCCATCTTTGCAAAGGGCAGCCCGGATTCCCTTAGGGCAGGCCATAGCAGTGGAAGCCATCGCAATGAGTGGTGGTGGATGGTGGTGGCAGAGGCCACTACAGCGCAGGCCGCTGCGGATGGCACCGGTGACACAGACTGTGGACTCAGATGGCGTTAGTCAAGGTAGGAAGGCGACAGTGGTAATCGGAAGCAGGCAGGGGAGGAGGCTGTCGGGGTGGGGGGGTCAGCTGTTGTTTTTTTAGACAGCCTCTAGCTGTCTAGCTGACGTTGTTTTTTTAGACAGCCTCTAGCTGTCTTTAAAAAAAACACCTCAGTGAACCAATTTGTGGTTCGTTTTTTCATGGGGAGGACATTCATGGTTCATCAACTTTGACGGACCATGAACCAGGATGAACCGCCATTTTGACAGTTCATCCCCATCTCTAATTAACAATGTGTTCCTTGAAGGCTTGACAGACTTTGAAAACAGACTGTGCTGTTAAACAATTATTCTCTAAACTACAAACACTTTTAAAAACCTGTTGCTTAAATGCTGTAACACAATCAACAGTCAAATTAAAAAGTTCTACATGAAATGTAAAGACTTGTAATTTTAACCTTCCCATGTTACAAGTTATTTTTCCAACAGAGTTTTTCTACATTAGCCCAAAAAAATTTAATAAGGGAAAGGAATATACAGAAGGCATTTTTACAGACTTTCAAATATGTATTTTGTAATTTATTTGCATGAACAAGCTCAAAGACCGATTTCAGTGGAGTCTTCATTAATCTACTCTTGTCAACTATGTTTTTTTAATACATAAGCCACATCACACACACCAAGAGAATCAAAGAAAATCCCAGGACATATCCCAAAGCCCCACCCCTAATGCCATCATTTTACAAAGCAGGACTACAGAAAGGCCTATCTATAAGTAAAGTTGAGGCAAGAATCACATTTACTCCAACCAGTGGATGAAAACCTGTTGCTTAGTGTAGTAAATCACAACTGCAGTTAGACCCATTTGACTCTGAGGAATTTATCACATAGTTGACTTATTAAATCCTCCCTCATGCAGTGGCCCTACTCTAATGCAATTTACTATGCCAAGCAAAACTAAGTTTCAGCCAGTGATTGTGAGATAAGAGCTGTGAGGAACTGGGGAATGGCAAAAACTGTAGGTAGGCCAGATAAATGTTGGTTTGAATATAACAGGAAATCGTGGTTTTCTTCAGTAGACAGGCTTAACAATATACCCATTTAACAACTGCTAGGATTCACAATCCTTTATGACCCTCATAAATGTGTCCTTGTGTCTTTGCCACACACCCCTTTAAAAAAAACAGAGCGTGCTGCTTATGTATTACCCCATAGCATTTAAAGCATTCTCTGGGCGGTTTACAAGTTAATTATGCAGCCACACATTCTGCACAGCACATGATTTTGTTACTCTTGTATACAGTTTAATGCTCCTCACTAATCGACCAATTTGCTTAATGACCTGGTCCTAGGAATGGAACTCGGTTGTTAAATGAAGAGTGCCTGTATATAAATTGTATTAAGTCCTAGATTCCAGACACTCACCCTCTCCTTTCCTAGCATGCATGAAATAAGATACACCTGCTTCCAACTGTGATTTGTTTTCATATTTATCTAATAAACTGTGGATCATACACAGATCATACACTGTGGTTCGCCCCTGGTTCGTCTGAACTAAATGACAAATTTTCGTTGGAATGGGGGAAACTGCTTTGGTCATCTCTGTCTGCATATGAAAGAAAACAGGGGAGGATGGGCACAGAGGCCTGCAAGTTCACACAGTCATAAGAAGCCATGACTTCCTAATGCATCCTACATTTCAATCTACAGAAAAGCAGGTGAACTGCCCAGAGTAGCCTTGGTAACCAAATGTCTTGCTATGCTAAAGTAAATCACAGAGTAGGCCCATTTGAATCAATAGCAAAGGGATCTTGGCCATTGTGTAGTAGAAAGGAAAAATGCAACAGTTTATACCTGAGTGAACTATCCTATAATCAGACACTCCGATTTGACTAAATGAATTCAAAACACATCTCAAAAATAGAAGGTCATATTCTCTACACAAATTTGTATGGAGGAAGGCAAGTCCAGGGCCATAGAAATGCACAGTGAGCAATCATGTCAGTGGGGGACATTTTGGTCTTAACAGGAGCTTTTCCACTAACATTATTTCTAATGGCCTATTTTGTTATGGTACTGTTAGAAGACTGTTCAAGGACTAAAGTAAAGGGCCCTACAATATTTTTATGGTGTCTATATTTTGGCAAACAATGGTTAGCTAACACATGCTCCCAACTCTTCATACATTCACACACATATAAGTGCACACACATACAACACTCTGTATTGGGATGCCACGGTGCAAAGCACTTTGAAAGCACAAACTCTGAATAGTGATTCATTCTAAATTGTTAAAAAGGGATAGCAGCCACCTTAAAAAGAGATAATTTACACTATTCTGAGTGGATGACAGTTTAAGAAATTAAATATGAACACTGCTTTTGCAAAGCAATACCATAACTTCAGTTGACTATGAACTGTCTTCAACTGACAAAACAAGCAGCACTGGGTTGAAACAAGAAACACTGGGGGGATAGAAATCCAATAAATAAATACATTCCCGAAAAGAGAAAACAAGAAATAAGGCCTTCTCGGTGGTGGCTCCTCGCCTTTGGAATAACTTATCTCCTGGTATTCGCGGAGCTCCCTCGCTGGGCACCTTTAAGAACTTATTACAGTAAAGACTCGGATGTTTCGGCAGGCCTTCTCACCAGATAGCTTTTGATTTTCTTCTCTCCTTTATTGTTTCCCTACTTTTAATTGTTGTTGTAATTATGTTGTTTTATGTTATTGTATTTTATCTCTGCTGTTGGCCGCCTAGAGTAGTCCACCGTGACTAGATAGGCGGGATATAAATTAAATAAATAATAATAATAATAATATTTGAAAAGTGATATCATATCTCCTCTCAGTCTTCTTTTTTTCAAGGCTAAACATGCCCAGTTCTTTCATTTTTTCCCCATAAGGCTTGGTTATTATATCTGGGATATATTTTGTGCTTTTAAAATAATGACTATGTTTAATTATTATTATACTTTGATTTTCACATTTATAATGGTTTTGTTATGAACCAAAGCCGATTTCCCAATTTGGTCTCCCGTAAGGGATCAGGCAAGATGCAGCCAGCTGAACCAAGGTTCAATTTTATTGAAATAAGCAATACAAAGTCATCTGGGACTTCTTTTAAAAGCAGAGAAGACCCCGAAAATAAAGTGCACAGATATTTCATAACATAACAAAGAGCCATAAAGTTCTACAATACTATTGGTCAGTATAATCCTAAAGTTTGGATCCTAAACCTAATTGGACAATGGTGACAAGGTTACAAAATTATTGGTCCACTACGTGTATAGATATACGGACAATGGTGACAAGGTTACAAAATTATTGATCCACTATAGATATACATAAGATGCCCCAGTTCCCCTTTGATCTGCCTCAATGATGTACTTCACTGTCTGTAGGAATGCATATTCCATCTTCCTTATCTATTGATATGTTTATGTTGTCTTCCTGGCCTGGGCCTAAATGTATGGCCTTCAATCTCTGTCTCCCTGCTAGTTTTTTGTTTCTACTATCTTCACAATGCCTTCTGGCAACATTCCTGAGCCTGGCCATCTGCTAATTCAAAGTGGGTGGAAGGTAACAAACAAGAAAAATTTTATACTTGCAAAGAATGCCTTTTCCTAGTTAACTCAAAATGGGCCTTTTCACTTTTAAAACTGTGTTTGAGCATACCCAGGTATCAGTTTTAATATTTACATTTTTAATCATTTGTCAGTCCCCTCGAGTCCTTCTATAAGGAGAAAGGGAGTGTAAAAATAAAATAAAATAGTACTGATGTATTAATCAACCCAAAATAATCCAACAGAATCAGAGCAAGGGAAGAGAAACAAACGAGCTGTCACTCAGGAGTGGATCTGCAATACTTGGTTCCAATATGGAATTACAGGCAAATACTCACAGGACAGGTTAAAGTACCGAGAAGGCTGTGACTCAGCAGCCACTTCCTGAATGAAGGAAAACATCATTCCTAGTGACAAAATCACAAACCCTAGGGTTATGAGGAAACTGTATTTCTGCTTTAGTGAGTTTCTCCTTACTTGATGTTACTCAGTTTTAGATCTAAGCTATATGCTATATCACAAAACCGTTTTGTTTCACAATAACATCCTCCAAAACACGCAAACAAAATCAGCCTGAAAACAACAAAGTACTGTAAATATGAAATACAAAAAAACATTATTGGGTCGGGCTAATAGTATGTGCCTCTATTCAGAAGTAAGACTTACTAACCTCACTGGGTAAAAAGAGGTTAAAAAGATACAGCACTCCAACCTAATGTCCTCTCAATTATCAGGCAAATGCCCCTCAGAAGCCTAAAAGTGGGACCGAGGGACAGCAATTCCTTTGCCCCCGGTCTCCAATTCACGATATGGTTGTTGACAGGCCCTCCCTCCGTGGCACACCGTGACGATCTGACATCCGCCTGAGGGGCTGATGGGGGGGGGCGCGACGAAGATGCACGGAAACGCTTCAGGGGCTTCCCTCCCTTGCCCAGGATGGAAAGAAAGAGCTCACCGCGAGAGAGCCTCGCAGGGTCTCCAAAGGGGGAGCCAGGGGTCCTCCTTGTCACCCCAGAAGCCGCAAGGCGGCTCGGTCGACGCAGCCCCTTCGCCCCTACTCACCCAGCTGGCCAGAGAGCAGACCCCCAGCACTGCCCCCATGGCGATGGTCCCAACGGTGTCGCCCCTCCGCCCACAGCCTCCCCGGCGCTACCACTTCCGCTTCGCCTGTCGCCGTTAATATTGTCGTGATCACCACCCTTCAGCGCCGCGCTAATTGGCCACGAGGTCCAGAGTGAGACGAGCCAACACCAATCATTGGAAAGGGGCAAGATCTCAGCGAGGCGGCCAATGGAACGTCTCGACCGAGCCTGTCGCGAGGGCGGAAAGAGGGACGCGTGGTGAAATTCCACGCTTTGGTGAGAGAGAGAAGATATGATTTTTTTTAAAAAAAAAAGCTCACTGTACAAGCTGATTGGATAGAAGCTTTTGAAAAAAAAAGATGCCATTGTCAGTTGTTAACCAGTTAGAGAGCTTGGTTTGTTTCAGGGGGTGGGACGGAGGAGAAACGGGTGGAAAAGAGCCCGAAAAACCCACAACAACCAACAGATGCCATTGTCAGTTGTTAACCAATTAGACAGCTTAATTGGTTTCAGGGGGTGGGACGGAGGAGAAATGGGTGGAAAAAGGAAGTGTCCCGCCCATCTTTGCTGCAATAGTTACTGCAAGGACGGGAATGGTTGCCATGGAAACAGTAGCGCGTTACCCTTTTGTGTATTATGTCTTTGTTTTGTCATTTTGTTCATTTTGCAGGGTTAAGGTTCGTGGGATTGCCTCTTCATGAGGTTCAGCCTGGGTCGAGAGCATTTAAAAAAAAAGAGAATAATCTATGAACCTTGAAGATGTTGTCATATTGGAACAACAGACATATTGTATAATTATTAGGAACCGCTATCCAAACAGTGATACTCAATTATTATCTACCACTGACGTCACTAAAAATGTGGGGGCGGGGTCACTTTTTTAAATTGTGTTTTGTCAGTTTTTACTGTGTTTTATTGTATTGTAAACTGCTCTGCAATTTTGAAAAGTTTGTATATATATAAAGTACTCTATCTTGCTTTCCAAACCTTTTTACTATAAATTCTTGGAATTCTTTTCTTTAATGTCTCCTATTGTCTCCATTGGCATCCTTCAGTCTTAAGAGACTATGGTAACGTGCTCTGTATGGAGGAATTGGAACAGCATCAAGTGTGGCCGAGAAGGCCAATTCGAGAGTGACAATCCCTTCCACACTGAAGACAAATACAATCTGTCCCCTGTCCAGCTCCCTGATTTTGCTGCTTCCGGGACTGCCTCTTTGCCTTGGCCTGCTGGACAAGTGCCTCTTCAAATTGGGAGAGGCTGTGATGCACTGCCTGCCTCCAGACTGAATGCTCAGATGTCAGGGTTTCCCATCTGTTGAGGTCCATTTCTAAGGCCTTCAGATCCCACTTGCAGATAACCTTGTATGGCAGCTGTGGTCTCCCTCTGGGGGGATTTCCCTGCACTAATTCTCCATACAGGAGATCTTTTGGAACCCTATTGTTTATGCACAGTGTTAATAAACAAGACAGCAGAAATGGGCAAAATTCAGGCTTGTGGAAGCTGTTTACTAAAACTGAGAGACTGGTGCAAAATAACATCTCTCAGAAGTGGCTCATTGGGAGTGCTTGGACAGGCCTAGACAATTATTTTCAGATTATAAAAGGCTCGTAGTTCGGGGGTTTTTTAAAATCCACTCTGTCTTTCCTTTGACACTTAAATTTGTCTGGGCAACTTAGATATTAAAGGAGTTGTTATTGGAAAATGTCTGAGAGACAGAGGTCTTTGACCATCTACCATGAATTTTAAAAATATAGCAGAAAGTTTGCATGCTTGTTGTCCAGTAGGATCTTAGAAATTAGGAACACAACTGGAACCTGGAAACACAACGTTCTCTACACAAAGTGTGGGAGTTGCAACTTAGGAGTTTCCCATGCCACATTTTTCAGCCTTTTAATGTGCAAATTATCTAAAGAATCCCGGATGTATCAGGACAAGTGTCCTCACAAAAGCAGGACATGGATGTGGAAGCAATTTTAAGACTGTCCAGCTCCTGAGGAAGACAGAAAGAAGGGAAGATTAGCTAGGGGGTAAGAAAAGAAAATCAAATCAGTTCCTCCCTTCTGTGGACCTTCTTCTGATGTCTGGAGGGAGAAGAGGAGTAGGATGGGTAAGCAGGCAACTCTGAATGGACCATCCAGAGGTTCTTCTAGTCTTCAATCACATTGTGCCCATACAACAGGGAGAAACATTTACATCATTTTGTTGGGGTGGGTGGGAGGTCCAGCAGCTGGCAGAAAACAACTGGAAGCTTGCATTTCTCCACAGAATGCCACAACCAGTGTAAATACACAATAAACAAAATAACTGAGGAAAAAAATTCTGGTCCTTCTGGCAAAGATCTGAACACCAGAGGTTGGGAAATGGAGGGGAGGGGTATTATTTGTTGATTGCTGCATTAGCACTAAGGCTAGAAGTGTTGTGCTAACAAATTTCTCCTCCAGATATAAATCAATACTAAAAATAAGTCAAGGAACTAGGCAGGAATAAAAAGGTCTGACAAGACCAAAACTTTATAAATAGACTATAAATTCATACAATTTTGAACAAACAAAGGTCTTTAGAGGAGGGGAGGGGTATTATTTGTTGATTGCTGCATTAGCACTAAGGCTAGAAGTGTTGTGCTAACAAATTTCTCCTCCAGATATAAATCAATACTAAAAATAAGTCAAGGAACTAGGCAGGAATAAAAAGGTCTGACAAGACCAAAACTTTATAAATAGACTATAAATTCATACAATATTGAACAAACAAAGGTCTTTAGAGACCTTTGAGTTGTCTTCTAAGCAAATGGCGCTCGTAGATCACATGCAGAATATGTGGCCCAAGCAGCATAGAGATCTGCATTAGCAACACTGAATTTTTTATAACAAAGGGGGAGAATATATTCCAGCAGCTTTAAAAGTGTTTGAGGCTAAATCAATTAACCAGTTACTCTGTGATGCGCAATTAGGACCCTATTCTGTCTTTACACCATTGGAAAGGGTCCAGACAAGATTTCTAAGAGCAATTCTGCAGGTACCATGTGAGATTCTTAATGCAGCTCTACGGCTGGAGATAGGATTCTTGAAAGTTGAAACAAAGATTTTTGGCTATCCATCTTTAGCTTCTGGCTGAAACTAATTTTTCCCCAAGACATTTGACCTCTCTAATACTACAGGAATGCAGGTACCATGTGAGATTCTTAATGCAGGTCTACGGCTGGAGATAGGATTCTTGAAGGTTGAAACAAAGATTTTTGGCTAACCATCTTTTAGCTTCTGGCTGAAACTAATTTTTTCCCAAGAAGTTTGACCTCTCTAATACTACAGGAGAATGATCAGTCAAATTGGAAGGAAGCTTTACTAGCCAAGCTTAGATCTTATGGATTTTTGGAGGGCAATATAATATATTTTTGATATGATGCTGCAAACCAAGCTCTTAAGCAACGAGTTATGGAGGTGGAGAAGCAATATGATTTGGGAGCAATATCAAATAGTATTTCTTTGGATTAAACACTACTGCCTTTTAAACCAGCTAACTACCTTTACTCACTGTTAATACCCAAATATCGTAGAGCCTTTACCCTTGCCCGACTATATGCATTACCATCGGCAGTACAAGAAGGGAAGTACAATATAAAAAAATTCCATACTCTCAACATAGATGTCCTTGTAATTTGGGTGCTATAGAAACAGTTACGCATGTTTTCCTGTCCTGTCCTTATTATGTTGATATTCTGTGGAATTTTATTGAACATCATCTAAAATTACTCCCTAGACGCTCTGAGGCTTTTTACACGCTTCTATTGCTGTCTGGACGCAATATAGATATCTGGAACAATGTGGTGAAATTCCTTGCAGCTGTTGTTAAAATCTGTGAAAGGAAGGTTTTAAAAATTACTATACATGATTTTAGTTATTAGTGGGTACCTGAAAGGAAGACTAAGGTAGTATAATATATTGCTCTGTTTTTAATTTAGTATGTTTTTTCTTTTTATATATGTGTTTAATTGTTTTTGTACATTGATCTGTATGCCTAGATTTTGGTCTATGACTGTATTAAACTTGATCTGATCTGAGCCCATGAAAAAATAAGTATACTTCTCCCTTGAATTGCATGGTTCTGAATAGCATAGTTTTAGTTGTACACAGATTTTTAAAAATAAATAAATATTCTGATAAATAAATGAATATCCATTAAATAAATATGCAATAAATACTGTGTCCCTGGCTACCCCAAACCCCATTAGTTCAACACTGAAGGCTTCAAAATGGTCTGCTTGCTCCCAAACACAGTAGCTCTAATTCAGTCTCTCGATCCAGAGGTCATAAGCATCTTTAAGGCTCATTACACATGATACTGTAAGGAAAGCAATGTCAATGCTACGCAAGAGAATCCAGATAGAGAAAACTGTTGTATGGGGGGGGGCTACAGCACCCCTAACCCCAGAATTGTTGAAGGGAGAAATGTATTTTAAAGTAGAATAATGCCTGGGTACCCAAATCATTTGCATTGTGCACTTAGAGTAACAGGCAGCCTAAAGGGGTACTGGGTACCCAAATCATTTGCATTGTGCACTGAGAGTAACAGGCAGCCTAAAGGGGTAGGCTGCCTGTAAATCAAATGCATTTAAACAATAGTTGGGTTACATCTATATTTAGTTGGGTTACTGCTCAGCTGGGGGTTTCTGGGAGTTGCATGTAGCCCAATACCCAGAAACATGACATTTTGCATATATATTAGAGAGATTCTACTTGAGAAAAAACTGGGTGGGTTATATCTTGATTAGCCATGTTGCTAAGGGAATCCTGCGAACTGTAAAAATGGTCAGTGCTACAAATACAAAGTTAGCCCTAAAATACTTCTGCTTTCACAACTGCTTCAACCACACTTCCTGGCTGGGGGATCATCTTCTCTGAAACAATAATAACTGCAAACACACATTGTGCACAGACACAGTCCCAGTTTAAATACCAGACATGTAGTATCTCAATCGATAATGATGGCTAGGGGATACTGGGAGCTGTAGTCCTATAATCGCCACAGTCCAATGTCTGAAAAAGTAAGAGATTGGAAGCATTAACTGCTACATGGATACAACTGTGCCCCCATTAAATAGATAGGCTGCATTTAGAC